GAAATTTAGGAGGCATAAATGTAAAGTCCAACATTTGGGTTCAAAAAAACCAGCTGAACAAGATAGGATGGCCAAGGTGTGACTAGAAAACCTGCTAAAGCCCAGTCATTTTTCTGTATCAGATTTTAAAAAAATAATTTCTTTTCATTTACCAAAAATTTAACAAATGTGTATTGAACTGAAGAGGTGCACATGATTTCTGGGTCTCTCAGGATCTTTATATCTGGAGCCCCTGACTAGTACTGTCTCAGCATTGTAGATAAAAGCCTTCCACACAGTAATTTCTTACTAAGACCGTGGGAAAATGAAGCTGATTGGAAATGGGGAGGGCAGGGGTTTCTAGTCTAGACAGATATGCCTATTGAGAAGTAGGTTAGGAATGGGGAAGAGAGAAGCAGACTTCCTTCCATGTTTGTCCTTGAGGTTGAGATGACATGGTCCCATGGCACTTGGAACAAATGGAGAGGGCTCCATTGCTGATTGATTCAGGGGCCCAGGCTATTATATAATATATTCAGAAGGCCAAGTCAGTAACTAAGGAATGTGCTTTCCATATAAATCTGTACCTGGTAGGATCAGAGAATCACAAGGCTAGAGTTAAGAAAGGGAATTCAGAGGCCAAAGTGTCCAAGCCATATAAGTGAGGACACTGAGAAGTTAAGTGACTTGTCCAAGGTCATGCAGGTGGTTATGGTGGTCGGTGGTCCTCTGGCAGCAGGATTGGTGGAGTGTCTTAATCTCTCCTCTACACGGCAAGCAGAGCCTTCCTCAATATTGATTTCAGGTTATTGAAAGTTTAATAAGCAGGACATCCTTGGATTGTCTTAGACTCCTGTAAGAATTCTCCTTCAGAGCGGTCACCTTTCTAAAGGAGTTACATAATTTTAGAGTAGGAGAGGTAAATGGAAACCCTATTATGGAGGATTTTAGATAAATGAAGGTTTAGGCATTTTTTCCAAATGCAATAAAGTGACACAGGAGATGTTTGAACAAGCGAGTGATGTGATTAAACCTGTGTTTTGGGTATATAAAGTTGAGCAACTGTGTGGATTATGGATTGGGAAGTGGAGAAATGAGAAGCATGAAAATCAGTTGGGAAGTTATTGCTATAGTCTAGGTAAAAGGGAATAATGATGATGATGATAATGATGATGACAGCCAGTATTTATATAGCATTTTTAAGCTTTGCAAAAAGCTTTAGATAAAATAGCACTTGGCAGATAAGTGCTGTTATTGTTCTCATCTTTAAAAATAGGGAAACTGAGGCTGAGATAGCAAATGATTTACTCAGCATCACTCAACTAGCAAATGACTGTCTGAGACAAAATTCAAACTCATCTTCCTGACTCTAAGGCCAGAACTCTATTTACTATTATCCATTCACTTAACCAATGTCTGCCTCAGTTTCCCCATCTATAAAATGGGGGTAATAATAGCACCTACCTCTCAAGGTTGCTGTGAGGAGCAAACAAAATAATATTTTTAAAATGTTTTTACAAACTTCAAGGTGCTATCTAAATGCTATCTAAATGCCACCAATTATTATTACTATTATTATACCTCTATTATGGTGATACATCTGTATTCCACTTCTAGAACATGGAAACCTGTTTTATTTCTCTATGTTGAACCCTTGTTCTCTACTATTCCATTTTCCTTGTGTGTCTCCTGCTTGCTGCCAGCCCCTCAACTGCCCTGGTTTTTCTTGCTATATGCCTTTCTTCTTTCCAAATTGCTCATTTTCCCTATTCTAGCTCCTTGATCTTAGGAGCCCCTTCTTTGGTCTTCCCTACTCCCCCCCTTCCATCCTCCCTCCATCCCCATGAGGAATTCCAAAGCTCTAGAACCTATCTAAGAAAGAGGTACCAAGGAGTGAAAGCAGACTATCACAAGTCACGTTTTTCAAATTCAGTGTTTCTGATGTTCTTTTGTACACAGTTCACTGTAAGATGTTTGCTGAGCATCACGGGGGCTCTGCCATATTGGCCGATGTTCCATAGCCTTGCAAACGGACTCCTTTGGCTCTGGTATTCCCAGCTCTGTTTCCTGTAGTCAGAGGGCTGGCTTTCCTCCTACACAATTTGCCTCTTGCAAGGCTGGCCTGTTCTGCAAAGGTTTATTAATCTTGATTTAATGTATTCATATTAGAAAAATGTAACAACGAAAGAATAAAGCTTATGCAGGCAACACAAGGCCCCCTGGGTGTTCAATCTATATTACTCATAGCAATGCAAAGCAAAAATGGCAAGTTATATTAGCTAAGTTCAGAATACAAAAGGCAATATTAATTTCATAGGATGTGTAAAAAGATATGCAAATGTGAACAACTCCCAAGAAAACAGTACAATATAATACTCCAGGCTTTGAAATCATGCAGTTTCATAAGCACTTGTTAGAAACATCACTCGCATAATATACGTATATTTTAAAAGCAAGTTGCTTTTCGTCATGCAGGCATTCTGGAGAGCAGTCTGCTTTATGAACCTTGGGCAGGATGATTGCGGTTTGAAAAACTGTAGATTCGCTTCCAGATGTCCACTTGTTCTTTGGAAAACTGAGATAGCGTCACACAACTATTCCACTTTGCTGTTTTCCAATTAAAAGCATAATCCATTTCCTATGATTTCATCCTGTTTGGCTGAAATGTGAAGTTCAAATTTCTGAGGCTCAGTCTTCATCTAATTAACCAGTTATGAGAGAGTGGTTTTGGGAGATGGTGACTTCATTTCCCTCCTTAGGTGCCCTTGTCTCCCCCATTAGAATGTAAGCTCTCTGAGAACAAGCTCTTTTTTGTCTTTGTAGCCTCAGTGTCTAACGTAGTACTTAGCACCTAATAGCTGCTTATTAAATGCCTGATTGACTAGTGATTTACAAACAGCCCTGAAATTTCACAACCAGTATCCCTCCCCTCTCGTTTAGACCTCCAAATGCTTGTGGGTCTCATTAATTTGAATAGTAAAATAGGAGTAGGTTCCCTCCTAGAGTTACCTCTGATATTTATAAGCTAGATAACTATGTTGTAAATCTTTTAGAGCCTCAGTTTCCTCACCTGTAAAATCAAGATAAGATTATTGTAGTACTGACATCACAAGGTTGCTGTGGAAGTCTGATGAGATAGTAAGTATAAAGTGCTTTTTAAATCTTAAGCTTCTATGTAAATGTCAGCCCTTAATATTATCACCACCATCATCATCTCTTCCTTTATTATGTTTTTTAATTTTTAAATTTATTATTGTTAAAATTTTTAAATTTATTATTGTTATTCATCTCATCTTTTTGGATTTCAGATAGAATTCGGATAGAAATGGTTCTGACACAAGTGGCTATCCTGCTTTTATTATTTTATATTTAATGTACTGCAGACTATTGCATAAGCAGCTGAAATAATTGGGTTTTTGGTAATTGAATAAAAATCGTGGCATATAAGATCTTTCTCTTGTTTTGCTGAGTTTCTTCTAACTCTCGAACTCTGTGATTCTGTGATCATTATCACCTCTCTCCAAGGTTGCTGTCAGGAAAGTAAGAAAGAAATGAGTTATTTTTCAACCTCCTTTACCATGTGCTTTCTGTATGGGGACTCTGTCTTCATTTGAGACTGAACTGAACATAGTAGCTAAATGGAAGAGGATACATGTTTCAAAGCTGGACTTCATTTCAGTTGTGTAAAGATGGAATTTTTCAAAAGGAGGGGAAGAATGGTTAAGCCTTTTAGTGAATTGCAGACTCTCAGCACTAGAAGGGACCTTGGTGGTCATCTAGACTAACTTGTACTTTATAAGGCATGACAATGCCCAGGGAAGAAGACCATGCTGCTTTGGGAGAGCTCCAGCCACAATGAAGTTTTTCCTTATGTTGAGTCACAACCTACTTTTTAGTCACTTCCATATATTGGGTCCGGTTCTGCTGTCTGAGGCCAAGGAGAACACATCTAAAACCTCTTCCCCAAAGCATCCTTTCAGGGTCTTAAAGACGGCTCCAATATGTTAGTCTATGTTTTCTCTACACCATGTGAAATAATTGGGCCTTCCTTTAGGTAAATCTGATATATGTTAACAAGATATTACAAAATAATTGAGCAAAAGCAGTGATGGTTTGCAATTATTATAATAATAATAATGCTAATGATAATAGCATTGAGATTGGTAAACTGTTTTATAAATACTATTTCATTTGATCCTCACAACCCTGGGAGGCAAGTGTTATTATTATCCCCATTTTACAGGTGAGGAAACAGAGACAGAAAGAGGTTGAATGACTTGCCCAGGGGCATGTGTCATAAATTGGATTGTGTCAGAAGCTGGGTTTGAGCTCAGGTCTTCCTGCCTCCAAATCCAGAGTTCTTATCCATTGTGCTTCCAATACAAACATGGTACCTCCTAATGTAGAAATTCACTAAAAGTTTAGTGGTTTAGGCAGAATTTGAAGATCACTAGTAAGAAGAACCTAGAGCATAGAGCACAGGTGGGCTGGGATCCTTAAAAATTAAACATGTTATGTAAACTCTTTAAATGTAGAGGCAATTCCTTTTTTTGTCTTTGAATTTCTGATGCGTAATAAATGCTTATTGAGATATGTATATATATATATATATATATATATATATATATATAATATGTGCACATATATAATATATTGCACATAGACACATATAAACATATAATACGTATGTATATATAGAGAGAACTTAGTATATACTTTTATGTGTACCCACAGTGTTCCCCTCCCCACAGTAGAATATAAATTCCTTGAGGGCAGAGAGCATTTTGCTGTATGTTTTTGTATCCCCAGCACCTAGAATTTTGTCTGACACACAGTAGACTATAAATTTTTGTGGCATTAACTTCATCAGGAATTGAAGGTACATCAGAAATAATTGTACAGTGTCTCTGAGTCCACCTTTAATCAGACAAGTAGGAACTCACCCAGACCCTCCTTTTTATGCTTCTGTTGCAGAGTGAACTTTGATAAGCCCTTTACTTTTAATTTTTTTTCTCTTCTAGTTGAATTGCCAAACTTCTCCATTTTCCGGTGACCACAGTGACTTTGGATATTAGCACTCCCAGGACTAGGTGAGTCTTCCTTTAAAAAAAAAAATTCAAATTGATTCTCCTGTCCCAGCTGTTTTCTGGCACTTGCTACATTGTCTGCCCACTGGACAGCTACTCTGCTCTCTGGATGAAGCTTGAATAATGAGGGGCAAGATTGGCATTTGCCGTTCTTCTGCACTCATCTAGATTCATGAGCTCCATTCCCCTGCAGAGGAACGTACTGCATTTGTGTACACAGAGCATGGTTGGTTGGTCTTGCTTGATGGAGAGGTAGGGCAGCTGCTTGAAGGAGATATGCTCTGCCCTTGGTGCTGAATGGCCTTTGATAGTAAGGTCTGAAATGAAGCCTCATGGAACTTAGCATATGCTAATGTTTGACTGTTATCCCAATGTATCCCTTTTCAACCAGGTCTATGACATGGGAGGAATGACCAAATGCCGGCTTTTGCCGACTTTCCGTATCGCATACTGAGTATAAAGTCAAGCAAGCTGGGTATGGTGGGGAACACAGTCAGCTAGGGAAGTGGGAGGTTTTCAAGATGGCTTTGTTCGATTTCAGTGTAACCATGCATTCCAAGGAAATAAGGGGAAGGATTGGGATGCTTGGCTGGATGGGACCATGATAGTGGACAGCAGACAGAAGACTGAGCCGCTCGGTATTTATTTTACTCCCAAGGAGAGTGACTAACAGGGACTTGACACCCACCGTACACCTAGCACCTGGCTTAGATGATCTCCATCTGCAGAAGGAAGAGAGCATTTATCTAGCACTTACTCTGTGCCAGTTTCACAAAGGTACCCAGCATGAGGACAGAGTTTTGAAGTCCAGAAATCAGAATCAGAGCTGGGAGGGAGCTCATGACTGACTGGCCTGGGCCCCTCCCCAAAATGAAATCTCCCATTAGGAACCCATCAGTGAAGAAAGGGGTGAGGATGGTAGAGGGATATTTCAGGAAAGAAGACCACAGGGGTCTTTCTGGTTTCAGGATGAGGAGGCTTCAGGCGTTCTCTCTTAGGAACGTGATAAGATGAGACAGTGATTGAGGCATAACTTCAAGTCTATCAATTATGATCAGAGCCAGGGTAGGGGTTTGGGGAAATGGATTGGACTTGATCTCCATTGAGGTCCGAAACAACTAAAATTCTGTGAGTCTGTGAAAAGACTGAATTTTCCTCCTTGAAGTATGGTTTCCTCTTAATAGTTAACATTTCAGAGTACGTACATGTTTTCTTTTTTTTTAAATTTTTTTAAATTTTGATTTATCAACAATTACTTCCATATACTTTTGAGTTGAAAATTTTTCTCCCCCTTCCTCCCCCCCCACCCTCCCCAAGATGGCGCACAATCTGATATAGGCTTTACATTTACATTCCCATTAAACATATTTTCACATTAGTGAAGTTGTAAGTAAAAATTAAAACCAATAGGAGGAAAATCGTCAGAAAGATGAAACAAAACTCAACAGAAGGTAAAAATAAGTGATAGCGATTCGACTTCCATAGTTCTTTCTTTGGATGTGGACAGCATTTTCCATCCCAAGGCCTCTGGAGATGTCTTAGATCCTTGTAATGCTGAGAAGGGTTCAGTTTAACAATGTCAGTCAACGCATAACATGGCTGTTATTGTGTACAAAGTCCTCTTGGTTCTGTTCACTTCACTCAGCATCAGACCATATAAGTCTTTCCAGGTTTTTCTGAAGTCCGCCTGTTCATCATTTCTTATAGCACAGTAGTATTCCATTACATTCATATACCACAACTTGCTCAGCCATTCCCCAATGGATGAGCATCCTCTCAATTTCCAATTCTTTGCCACCACAAAAAGGGCTGCTATGAATATTTTTGTACATGTGGGATCTCTTTCCGGATATAGCCCTAGAAGTGCTATTGCTGGATCAAAGGGTATGCACATTTTTGTAGCCCTTTGGGCATAGTTCCAAATTGTTCTCCAAAATGGTTGGATCATTTCACAACTCCACCAACAATGTATTAGCGTTCCAATTTTCCCACATCTTCTCCAACATTTATCATGTTCCTGTTTTGTCATGTTGGCCAATCTGATGGGTGTGATGTGGTACCTGAGAGATGTTTTGATTTGGATTTCTGTAATCAATAACGATTTAGAGCATTTTTTCATATGACCATAGATGGCTTTAATTTCTTCATCTGAGAATCGTCTGTTCATATCCTTTGACCATTTATCAACTGGGGAATGGCTTGTGTTCTTATAAATTTGTCTTCATTGTCTATATATTTTAGAAATGAGGCCTTTATCAGAGAGACTGGTTGTAAAAATTCTTTCCCAATTTTCTACTTTCCTTCTAATCTTAGTTGCACTGGCTTTGATTGTGCAAAAACTTTTCAGTTTAATGTAATCAAAATGATCCATTTTGCTTTTCATAATGTTCTCTATCTCCTGTTTGGTCATGAATTCTTCTGTTCTCCATAGATCTGATAGGTAAACTATTCCTTGTTCTCCCAGTTTACTTATGGTATCAGCCTTTATATCTAAGTCATGAACCCATTTTGACTTTATTTTGGTATATGGTGTGAGATTTGGGTCTATGCCTAGTTTCTGCCATACTCTTTTCCAGTTTTCCCAGCAGTTTTTTTCAAAGAGTGGGTTCTTATCCCAGAAGCTGGGGTCTTTGGGTTTATCAAATAATAGATTACTATAGTCATTGACTACTGTGTCTTGCATATTTAACCTATTCCACTGATCCACCTCCCTATTTCTTAGCCAGTACCAAGCAGTTTTGATGATTGCTGCTTTATAATACAATTTAAGATCTGGAATTGCTAGGCCACCTTCCCTGCATTTCTTTTCATTAGTTCCTTTGATATTCTGGACCTTTTGTTTTTCCAAATGAATCTTGTTATTATTTTTTCTAACTCTATAAAATAATTTTTGGTAGTTTGATTGGTATGGCACTGAATAAGTAAATTAGCTTAGGTAGGATTGTCATTTTTATTATATTAGCTCGGCCTACCCATGAGCAACTGATGTTTTTCCAATTATTTAGATCTGATTTTATTTGTGTGAAAAGTGTTTTGTAATTGTGTTCATAGAGTTCCTGGGTTTGTTTTGGAGGTAGACTCCTAAATATTTTATAATGTCTACAGTAAGTTTAAATGGGATTTCTCTTTCTATCTCTTGCTGTTGGGCTTTGTTGGTAATATATAGAAATGCTGATGATTTATGTGGGTTTATTTTATAGCCTGCAACTTTGCTAAAGTTGTTTATTATTTCAAGTAGTTTTTTACTTGATTCTCTAGGATTCTCTAAGTATATCATCATGTCATCTGCAAAGAGTGATAGCTTTGTTTCTTCTTTGCCTATTCTAATGCCTTCAATTTCTTTTTCTTCTCTTATTGCTAAAGCTAAGGTTTCCAGTACAATATTGAATAACAGTGGTGATAATGGACATCCTTGTTTCACCCCCGATCTTATTGGAAATGCTTCTAGCCTGTCCCCATTACATATAATGCTTGCTGAAGGTTTTAGATATATGCTATTTATTATTTTAAGGAAGACTCCATTTATACCTATGCTTTCTAGTGTTTTTAATAGGAATGGGTGTTGTATTTTATCAAAAGCTTTTTCTGCATCTATTGAGATGATCATGTGGTTTCTGTTGGTTTTGGTGTTGATATGCTCAATGATGCTGATAGTTTTCCTAATATTGAACCAACCCTGCATTCCTGGTATAAATCCTACCTGGTCATAGTGTATTATTCTTGTGATAAGTTGCTGCAATCTATTTGCTAGTATTTTGTTTAAAATTTTTGCATCTATATTCATTAGAGAAATTGGTCTATAATTTTCTTTCTCTATTTTGACTCTTCCTGGTTTAGGTATCAACACCATATTTGTATCATAAAAAGAATTTGGTAAGACTCCTTCTTCACCTATTTTCCCAAATAGTCTATATAGTATTGGAATTAATTGTTCTTTAAATGTTTGATAGAATTCGCATGTAAATCCATCTGGCCCTGGAGATTTTTTCCTAGGGAGTTCATCAATGGCTTGTTCAATTTCTTTTTCTGAGATGGGGTTATTTAAGTATTTTACTTCCTCTTCGTTAATCTGGGCAATTTATATTTTTGTAAATATGTATCCATTTCACTAAGATTGTCAAATTTGTTGGCATATAGTTGGGCAAAATAATTCCTAATTATTGTTTTAATTTCCTCTTCCTTGGTGGTAGCTTCCCTTTTCATTCTTGATACTAGTAATTTGGTTTTCTTCTTTCTTTTTTTAATTAAATTGACCAAAGGTTTTTCTATCTTTTTTTTTTTGTGAAACCAACTCTTAGTTTTATTTATTAGTTCAATAGTTTTCTTAATTTCAATTTTATTAATTTTTCCTTTGGTTTTCAATATTTCTAATTTGGTGTTTAGTTGAGGATTTTTAATTTGTTCTTTTTCTAGTTTTTTTAGTTGTATGCCCAATTCATTAATCTCCTCTTTTTCTATTTTATTTATGTAAGCATTTAGAGATATAAAACTTCCCCTAAGAACTGCTTTTGCTGCATCCCATAGGTTTTGGTATGTTGTCTCATTATTGTCATTCTCTTGAATGAAATTATTGATTGTTTCTATTGATTTGTTGTTTGACCCAATCATTTTTTAGGATTAGATTATTTAGTTTCCAATTATTTTTTAGTCTATCTTTCCATGGCCCTTTATTACATATAATTTTTATTGCATCATGATCTGAAAAGGATGCATTTAATATTTCTGCCTTTCTGCATTGGATTGTGAGGTTTTTATGCCCTAGTACATGGTCAATTTTTGTGTATGTGGACTGCCGAGAAAAAAGTATATTGCTTTCTATCCCCATTCATTTTTCTCCAGAGGTCTATCATACCTAACTTTTCTGATGTTCTGTTCACCTCCTTAACTTCTTTCTTGTTTATTTTGTGGTTAGATTTATCTAGTGCTGAGAAGGGGTGGTTCAGGTCCCCCACTAGTATAGTTTTGCTGTCTATTTCTTCCTGTAACTCCCTGAACTTCTCCTG